TCCTCATCTGGATGATCCTCAGCCATGCGCTCAAGAACCCACCCAAGATCTTCACCCAGGAAGCTAGTGGCGGTAAGATCATGGTTTGCGTCAAGCTCTGCATTTCTGTCATTGTCTTTGCCTGCCCCTGTGCTCTCGGCTTGGCCACTCCCACCGCCGTCATGGTTGGCACCGGTATCGGTGCTGAGAACGGTATCCTCGTGAAGGGCGGAGCTGCTCTGGAGACAACGACAAGAATCACCCAGATCGTTCTCGACAAGACTGGTACAATTACCTACGGCAAGATGAGCGTAGCCAAGATGAGCCTCATCTCATCCTGGCAAGACAACGAGTGGCGCCGCCGACTTTGGTGGCATATCGTCGGCCTCGCTGAGATGGGCAGTGAACATCCTGTTGGAAGAGCCGTTCTCAATGCTGCAAAGACTGAGCTCGGGTTGGACGAAGAGGCCACCGTCGACGGCAGCGTTGGCGAATTCAAGGCTGCGGTCGGAAAAGGTATCAACGCGCTTGTCGAACCCGCCGTCAGCAACGAACGTACCAGATACCGTGTTCTCCTCGGCAATGTGCGTTTCCTCCGCGAGAACAACGTCGACGTCCCAGCCGAAGCTATCGAGGCGTCTGAGCAGCTTAACGCCAAGGCCAACTCCACCTCCAAGAACACCTCCGCTGGCACCACCAACATTTTTGTTGCCATCGACGGCCAGTATACAGGTCACCTCTGCCTCGCTGATACAATCAAGGAGGGTGCGGCTGCTGCCATTGCTGTCCTCCACCGGATGAAGATCAAGACCGCCATCGTCACTGGCGACCAGCGTTCTACTGCTGTGGCCGTGGCTGCGGCCGTTGGCATTTCCCCCGACAACGTGTTTGCTGGCGTATCCCCTGACCAGAAACAGGCCATTGTCCAGCAGCTCCAGGATCAGGGCGAAGTCGTCGGCATGGTCGGCGACGGTATCAACGACTCCCCCGCCCTCGCAACCGCTGACGTCGGTATCGCCATGGCCAGCGGCACAGACGTGGCCATGGAGGCGGCCGACGTCGTCCTCATGCGTCCCACAGACTTGATGGACATCCCCGCCGCGCTTCACCTCGCCCGCTCCATCTTCAACCGCATCAAGCTCAACCTAGCTTGGGCCTGCTTGTACAACGCCATTGGTCTCCCCTTCGCCATGGGCGTCTTCCTACCCTTTGGCTTCCACCTCCACCCGATGGCTGCCGGCGCCGCCATGGCCTGCAGCAGTGTCAGCGTCGTCGTCAGCAGTCTCCTGCTCAAGTTCTGGACGCGCCCGAGCTACATGATCGACCCCTCGGCCCAGACCAAGAGACGCGGCTTCGGTATCTTGAGTAGAGTCAAGTATGTCGTACGCAGACTCAGAGGCAAGCGGACGCAGGATCAGGGTTACGTCCCTCTGGCCAACATGGCGGATCGGGATGAGTAAAGTGATAAATCAGTGTCAATTTTCTATTGGTTTTGTGGATATTTGTACAGAGTCAGGGGGTAAGCCTCCGTTCGGGGCGGATTAGTCCAATGATGCCAATCCCCTCTTCTCACTAGAGAAAGAAAATATAGTTTTCCTGGCGTATAAACCGGACGGTTTCCTTATGTTTTCATCCGTCCTCCGTTTTAGCAGCATAGCAATGGAGTCAAACAGGGTGTCATCCCCCATTTCAAACTATCAAGTATAATAGTTGTGACCGTGTTATTTTGTTATATTCCATGTCTCCGTTTTTGCCCTTTGAAGATGTTCAATCGCACACAACGAAAAGACACAAGAAAGTGGCACCACGTCTGATATTATTCAGTCCATTTTGCTTCGCAATCTCAGACATCATCTCAGAGGGCCATGTTTAAAAGAAGAAGAGGTGTTGCCGCTAACGCCACGCTATGCAGTAAACAGTTCCAAACAATGAAACACAAAAACGGCATCGCACAAGTCAAGACCCTGTCACTGGCTCCACCACTCTAGACACCAGCAAAAGTCTTGCCGATGATCTGACTCCCCACAACCTCTGTAGAGCGCTGCGACTCCTCCTCTTCACTCAGCATCCGACTCCACAGCCTCAGCTCGTCGACGCTAACATTCCTCTTCTCGAGTTCCCACTTGACGCTCCCAGGTAGGGACGAAGAGGAGCCGCTGCCACCGATCAAGGGCACGGCATCACCACCAATCTCACCGGGGCCCTTGCCGTTATTCTTGGACAAGATGCCGAAGCGCAGACCGACCTCTGTGACGGTAACGAGGATGGAGATGACGATGAGGACGATGATGATCCAGGTGATGTAGCTCATCTTTGCGTCGGCGACCGAGTCAGACAGGATCTCGGCGAGGTCGAGGAAGACGCGGCAGCGCTCATTGAGGACCTTGATGCGCGGATCGATTTCGAGGTACTCTCGGATGGCGACGTACAAGGGGTGGAGGGTGGGTTCCGAGTCCCAGAAGAAGTTGGGGACGTCGAGGATGTTGGATGCTGGTGAAATTTATTAGAAGGGAGACTTCGTAGTTGTAGCGCAACGCGTGTTTGCGAGTATATCACAAGCAGAAAACAGAGGATGACTTACAAAGGTTAATGTCGACACGGCTCTTGAATAAGCGGCCCAAGATCTTGACAATCTCTGTTCTCGTCATGTTCAATTCGCCCGTGAGTGCCAATCTTTTTGGAACATGTTGCGCGTCAAGCATCGTCTCGCTCATGCGCTCCTCGAACAGACACAACTTTGTGCTCTGCGCGATGGCGTGACTGATGGTCAGCTTCACCATATGGTCGCTGCGCGGCAGCAGGGTAATCATGTCGTTGAAGATGCGCGGCCGCTTCACGTCGTGGCTGTACTCAAAGTGGAACTCCTCCGTCTCAAAGTCCTCCTCGTCCAGCGGGCGGGTGAGCAGCGAAAGTCCTGCCTCGTTCTGAGCAAAGGTTAGGTCCGCAAGGATGTCCTTCTCCTGGTGCTCTGTGAAGTTCCAAAAGACGACGACACCGTATGAGAAGAGGAACATCTCGGCAAAGGCCTTTGCGTCTGGGATGCGCGCCATAGGGGATAGGTTGGGGTCGTCGGGGGATTGCTCGCGGTGGTTGCGTTGGGAGGACTCGTCACCGAATCCGTTGTTGCCGTTCATGGGGCTCCCGTGTACGGGACTGCCATTGTATCCGTCTTCAAAGTACCCCTCATGATAGTCGCGCTGCTCGCTTCGCTCAATCTCCATATCTAGGACCGTCTTGCCGCTTCCGGGCGTCTTGACAATCGGCCGGCTACGAAGGCGGTAGCCTTCGGTGCCATTCAGGAGAGGCAACGAGTACACGACGTACAGGCAGTCGTCGTAAAGCTTCGTTTTTGCGTCGTGCTTAGTTCGGAGAAAGTCGGCTGTCGATTTCATCTTGTACGATTGTGCCGTACAATACGCGGTCAGCCTGGCCAGCTTTTCCTTCCGCTGGACCTTGGGAAGACGCTCCGCGTAACTCTTGCCGCGGATACCACCTCTCTTGCGCAGCACGTCAAGCTCCTCGTCGCGTAGCGGCCTGTTCTCTTCCATCTCAATTTCCTTTGCCATCTTGGTCGCTTCCTCGTCCAGGTCCTCGTCTGAGCCTGGCTTCTCGTCCGTCTCGGGCAACAGAACGAGCTTCTCGCTGATCTTGGTCGTGCGCGACGGCATGTTCTGGCCGCCTGTCCTAGACTGGAGATTGGGTAGCCCTGTGCTGGGACGTCGAGCGCTTGCGAGGCCATTGCCAGGCCGTTGTGGCGGAGGTTGTGGTTGAGACTGAGGCTGAGGCTGGGGTTGGTTCTGCGGTGGTTGCACTCGAGGCTGGCCCGAGGGGATGTCGTAGGCGTGCTGGAGGACATTGTCGACGGAGATGAAGCGCATCGCAGGGCGGGCGGGGACGTTTCCAATGCCGGTATCCTGTCGTTGGAGGGCGCCTCTCGGAGGTGGAGGTCGTTCTCGCGAGTCGGTCACCTACAGTAGGCTCGCATTAGCATTTCACGTAGACTTGATTATGGGGACGGAGGTGCGACGGACCAGTACCGACGGGCCTCGTTTTACGGGCGCCATTCTTGCGATCGTCTCGGGGGTTGTTGGAATTGAATGCTTAGAGAAAACAGCCTTTCTATCGCACAAAGGGTGCGAATGTCATCGAACAGAGGTTGCGATCAGAGGTGTCTAGAGGTCAAAGGCACCAAGTCTCATTGGGTGGTTGTCCGCGTGGTGTCGACATGACGGAAGCAGCTCAGGAAAGTTCAGAGCGCTTGCACCGCCACAGTTCCACATGTGGCTGACTGCATGTAGATACGTCATACCATCTCTGCGGCTCGTTCAATCAACACCAAGGTCTCATTCTCGCGATAGTCAAGCTTCTGACTGTTCGACAGGAAAAAGTAACATGAAATGGAAATAAAATAAGTGTATATGAAATTCGAAAAGTGCAAAAGCTCAGCCGCCCTCACGGGCGGCCTACGAAAATCCTCAGAGACTCTTACCAGCCTCAGGTGTAACGATGTAAGGATTTTGCACGAGACTCGAACTCGCGACCTATGAGTGCGGGACAATTCAAACGAGGACATTTCCCGCTACGTCATAGGCCTTATGACAGAATTACATCTTCTTGCTCATGATAGAGGTATCGAGGGCGGGTGGTGTGTATGAACCTGGATGTGTCGGTGGCTTATTCGGAAAGTTCAGTTGAATACACATTGGGCATTTGTAGACCTGCCTGGCGGGTCTTCTCCAAATGCGAATCTGTTTTAATTATGGAGAACTCTGTACATCTCGGTGGTATCTGATGTGAGATAGACAACAGGCTCAGTAATCAAGAAAGTTGATAGATCTTGAACAATGAGTTGCTTTGTTGGATCATTTCAGGGTAACGACTGGTGCCGTGATAAAATCCAAAGTTGAAATGCTACCAAACAACACAACAGACAGTGCGATTCAACCCAAAATCACTGAGTATAGCTTGTCATAACAACAGGTATATGTCTGAACCACGATCATAAGTCATAAGTCCCCCTGGATCCGTTTATCCGTCCAAGTTACGCGCATGAAATTTCATGATGGCTTTACACCTCCCTAGCAATGATCCCATTCAATAACTGGTCATCTTGTCTTCTCTTCTCATGTGCGAAAGCCAAACCCTTTGACGTGACTGCAACAGCCCACAACAGCGCCAGTCCAGCACTCACAACAACCAAGACTCGCTCGTTCCCATTGAGTGAAGTCTCTGCCAAAATACTTGATGCCTGCGACAGCTGAACGATGAAGAGTGCAGCCCACGAGCTTGAGACGATGTAGTGTAGGTTCTCGGTCTAGAGATCTTTCGGGTCAGCTTACTTCACCCATGTATCAACCGCAGTAGCTCAAAGGTACTGGTGTGAGAAAGACGTACCTCAACCTCCTCCAATACCCTCTCCCAAAACTTACTAATCCTCTTCTCGCCCTTGTGCCGCCTAATAATACCCTCAATACGTTGCACAGGTAGACAGACGACTAACTCTCCATAGCCCCTTGCCAGAGAATCTGCAAGAGCAACAAGCCTCTCACCCCTCTCCCGATCCCGCCCCTCCATCGCGTCAAGATTTGACCTTGTCCTATCAGCCAGGCAACGGTAAAGAGCAGGCAGCTCGCTAAAGTGACCCAACACGGTCCTTGCTGTAGGCGGCTGGCGCATGGGCAGGCGATGGTACAGATATTGGTTCTCCGCCGGAGTGAAAGACCGACCCAACAGAACGGCTGCGGCAATACCGCGTTGGGAGGGACCAGAATGTGCTACTTGATCGTGCTCCGTCTGGGAATAGCGCCCTGTGTGGGGGAAAGAGTCGTTCGATGTCAGCTCAGGAACTTTTGCAATGATAGGAACCTACTGCGAGACATGGGACCGGAGTAGCCGTCTCACTGGCCCCCAAAAGGTTCCCACATGAGGAGACAGAGGAAGAGAAAATGAAGGAGGCATGCATACCTTGCTGCACTTGTTCAGCAACACCGTCAGGAACGATGGGGGCCACCGGACGCTGAGGCTGTCCTCGGCCACCCCGCGTACGCCGTTGGTCTCGCTGTCTATGCGACATGATGCAATATGGACTGATGTAACGATTCGAGAAGCGATCCGATACGACGCCGCTGTACGAACTTTCGAAATGAGACATTGCGGCACAGGAAACTTTGAAGCGACTGTTCGATATAAGAGAAGCCTGTGTACGAAGATTTTCTGGTTGTTTGGCGAGGGACATCGTGCCAACAGCAGATTACAAACCTGACAAGATGCTAAATTTGGATATCTTGCGTATATTGAGATGGATCGCAGCCACGGGTGAGGAGAAACCCGCCCCGGAAGACTACGTGAAGGGCGATATGAAGTGGAATCACGGCCAGGAGAGCCCCGATCTCGAGGGGTTTGGTGACGGGAGTAGACTGAAATCGCGGATGCCCAGGAGAATCCCGCCCGGGAGTCCTGAAGAAGAGAAGAAGATGAACCAGAATCACGGACGTTCACTGACAATACCGCCGCGCTCTTGGCAAAAAGATTTCCTGCTTCCTCGCAGGAAGAAATGATGACAAGCCAGAACGTAGAGTTGGCAGAAAGGAATCCCCAGCAGCTCACAGCCCTCCAGATACGTGGCGAAATGCAAAACCCCAAGCCTCATCGTGGAAATGCCAGAAAATTCAATTATCGTTAACGCGTGTCGATGGACCCCTTCCCCAAACGCCTAGCCAGCATGGTATCTTGCCTAGTATCACACGCACACACAAAAAGGAAAACAACCACTAGTCTGCACTCGTCAACTCCTGCAGATGGGAAGACTTGAAAGGGACGGGATGATAGGGACCGGCGACAACCCGTTGCCTCAGCAAAAGCCCCAAGTCCGTTCGTCATCACCAGTTCCTCCGGCCTTGGTCTACCTTCTCCCCACGATACCCGAAATCCGCTTTCCTCAAGTCCGCTCTCCTCGCGTCGTCGCGCTTTGCCCGCACTTCGACTTGATGAAAGAACCTCCGATGGATGAGAGTCAGGTGACCACTCTCATCGGTACTGAGGCGGAGTTTGGCCCCAACCCTGGGGAGGCTGACCATGCACTTGCGGGGGCGGCATCTGTCCTCCGCCCTTCATGGCCGTGACGTCGGGGCGATTCTCAAGGGGTTGAGCAAAGTTGCAAATGTGGCAGACGACATCAGTGTAGCCCTTGAAGGACAGGGGTATGACGGGCTAAAATGGGTGGGTTAGCTTTGAGATATCTCATCTTCAATTTCACACAACGGCTAGTGACATAAAATGGGAGTTCGACAAGGGCTTGAGGGGGGAGGTACACATAAAGGAGCTCATAGAGATGCAGGAAAAAAAAAATAGAATGTGCACACAAAGACTCACAATCCAGCAGAATGTGAACCAAGGATGGCTCTTGATGACATGGCCAGACATGTTACCGCAGTTGTAACACTGGCAGACCATACCCTCGTAGCCCTCGACAGGCTTACGGAAGGTGTGCTCGCCGCACACGAAGAAGAAGAACATTGCGGCGATTGATCAGACGTATGCACGCTCAGTCGCTGTAGTTGCAGGTCGGGAAGCAACAGTGGCGGACAGCGGTTGGGTTTTGGCGACTTTTCCGTCGGATGATGGCGGTAAGACTTCCTCCGCCCTGGCGTATCGCGCCTAGGTGAGCTGGGCTAATAGTGAAAATTGAGGGGGGTGAGACAGAGAAAAGCTCTGTAGGTAAGGCAGATCGCTCAGCCAGTATTTCCTCGAGCTGTGTGGCCTGGGTAAGCGACGACTTTGTTGGAAGTCGGAGGTTGCGCCGGGAGTTGAAGGAAGAAGTGACCGTTGGATGCGGAAGGAACAGTTGACGTTGGCGGAGGAGTGGATGTCCTTAAACGGGAGAAAAGGGCAGGCCACTCACACCTTGAGGTAAGGTACCTCAAGGCAACAAATGTAGGTAAGCAATTCAATCCAACGAGCGCAAAAGCTACGTTGAGCTGTTCGGCGTGTGGTGTACCTCTGGTTAGCTTCTTTGCCGAGATGCAGGAATCCCAATTTTTGATAGGTTCCCGACAAACCAACAGGAGCCAGAAGCCAAAAGGTTTAGAATGTGGCCCAAGCTTGAAAGGGAATTTGATTGATGGCTGGCGGGTGAGTGAGGAGGGAAAATGAGGGACGAACGACTTTCCTGCTAGCTTTGGTGTCACGGGTGTGTGCCAGTCTTGCGTGTCCTCTCGAGGCGGTGCATCCTTGGCGATCCAGCCAGTAGCCTCGAACTTGTTGACGTTCTACCGACATTCGCCCATATCTCCTTGAACCTACCTGGAGAAGTACGAATACTGCGGTAAGGTAGTTCAGAACTACAGAGACGTCGTTCCCGTGATACTCAGGGGAACTATGGGGTGCATGACAGGAGACCCGTCGTCCGTCTGATAGGTACCTTGACGACTACAGCAACGCTTCTCAGTTCCTTCATGCCCTTTAATGCTGTGCGTTCGGGTAATTTTCTCGCGCGGAATGGAACTTCATGCCCCCCAAGTTGCGAGGTTCCTCCCCGTTCGGCACCTCTCAGCTGCCCATTTCAGCCAATTCGCCTGGCGGGCTGAAAGTCTAGGATCATCCGTGGATGCCGTCGCAGTCTAGGTTTTTCGTTTGCGACCAAAAGGGGGAAAGGGAAGAGGAAGGGAAACTTCGCCATTCAATTCTTACGTGGAAACTGTGTTATCTGCCATGTGCAACTCTATTCACTGCAATTGAACACAAACCTTGACAGTTGCCATCGCCAGTACCGTTCATCAGGGCTCTCATAGAAAGACAGAGGACAGGAGGCTACAGCTGCGAAGGAGGCAGCCTGCCAACCTAACGAGGGCGATCTTCTTGGGCATGTCATCGCCTCCACTCCAGTCCGATGTTTCCGCACCCCGTTCTTCCCGCCGTTACCTCCGGCCAAAAAGCACCCGACCGTCAGTGACACCTCAGTCAGTGGCGCTTGAGTGGGAAAAAGGTCACCTAACAAAGCTAAGGTAAGCAAAGATGCGTTTAGCGCCATGCAAGCCACTTCAGGCCCCACGTTCCTTAAAGTCAACCTAGGTAACCTTCCTGCCTGTGTGGGTGCGTCATCCCAGCACCAGAATCGAACCCCGCGGAACCAACCTAACACCGACCTCCGTCTTTACACCCAAAAAATTTCGGCAAAGCGCGGTCGCAAAACACGACAGCCAACCTCAAAGCCAAGACGTTTGCGACATCAATTCGACCAACAGCAACGTCGTGAGCTCAAAGTCTTTGCTCTAACCACCGATTGATCGCTACGATACTATTTTAATAAAAGAGACTGCGCATGCAATCGGCGCCTATCCCAGGACCAACAGCCGACCGCCTGAGGAAAATCAGTCATCGCAAGCTTCCATGCGCCAAACCCCACGATAGCTTCATCGAAAATCCTCACAAACCACCCAAAATGGTCTACGACCTCAACATTCCGTGGTCCCCAACCACATCTCCCGCCGAACTCGCCCGCACAGTCTCCTTCGCATCCTCCCTAGGCTACACAGTTCTCGCTTTCAACCACACAATAACGCCCCCGATCCCCTCTCAAATCACGAACCCTCTACCAAAGTTCCCATCACAGTCAACAACAGCAACACCACCAACGGGGACTCCATCACAACCCTCCCAACAACAAAACAAACAACAACCAACAATCCTCCACCGCGCAACAGTAACCCTCTCAGACCCCTCCCAAAACTACCGCCTCCCAACCCTCGCCCTAGCCTACGACATCCTCGCCGTCCGACCAACCACAGAAAAGGCATTCCAAGCAGCCTGCCTCTCCATGGCCGAGCCCTCCCTCATCTCCCTCGATCTGACGCAGCACTTCCCCTTCCACTTCCGCCCGAAACCCCTCATGGCCGCCGTCGCCCGCGGCGTCAAGTTCGAAGTCTGCTACTCCCAGGTCCTCACGTCTTCGTCTTCCTCTTCCGCCTCTGGCGGGGGCGTCGGTCCCCCGCCCGACGCAAGAGCCCGCGCAACATTCATCTCAAACTTTGCGTCCCTCGTCCGCGCGACAAAGGGCCGCGGCATCGTCGTCTCCAGCGAGGCGCGCGGCGCGCTGGGGTTGAGGGCGCCCAACGACGTTGTCAATTTGCTCGCCGTGTGGGGTTTGGGCAGCGAAAGGGGCACCGAGGCGTTGGGGGTCAACCCGCGCGGCGTCGTGGTCAACGAGGGGATCAAGAGGAGCGGGTTCCGGGGCGTCGTGAATGTGCTCGAGGTCGGCGGGCGGGAGAACGATGTGAAGAAGAATCAGCAGCAGGGGCAGGGGCAGCAGCAGGGGAAGAAGGGCAAGAAGCAACAAGGCGGCGGCGCAGGCGGTGGTGGTGGTGGTGGTGACAAGGGCAATGCGCAGAAGCGCAAGACGCCTGATGAGGGTGGTGATGGCGCGCAACCTACAATTAGCAAGAGGCAGGCCAAGAAGTTAAGATTAGCTCTTAAGGAACAGGAAAAGGATGCCTCATAGACGCTAAGGTGGAACATGGAACGAAAGCTAAGAAGAACAGATAAAAAGGGCTTGAGAATGGCACAGGTAGATATTGGGTTGGACGGAAGTCATTTACGCTTTGTGATACCCCATAGAAGAGAGCAACATCGAACCTCTGTATCGTGAATCGATACTTTTCACAAATTTAGGACGTCGACGATGGATTCACCGATGTAAAGGGCAGTCGTTCATCCCTCACACAGCATAATAGACTTGCCCATCTCCTCTCGAATGCCGTCGTATATATAATATAGGGGATTTGGGCTTAGGGGTACAGGTGGGTGCAAGTGTTTTGGTGTTGCCTTTTTGTTTTTCGATGTCTTCAAGAAATGAATTATGTACAACCGCGGGGGGGATATGTGTGACAGTTGGCTCAACTTCAAATCCCTCTCCATCTTTCCATTACACACGCCACACCATGTTGAAGCTTTCCAGAAAACCAACCTCATCGCACGCGCGCAGCCGGTCAAGACGTGTGGTCGTAAGGAGAGGGAAGGGTGGGTTTTGTCTGACGTTGCCTCCTTTTTCCACCTTCCTCGCTCTCTCGTATATACCACCATTCCAAATCGAGATCTCTCCTTCCCCTACTTCACCATTAAAAACCCCTTCCTTCCAACCAACTTCCCCCGCATTCCAAGAATCGAAAAATCTAGGGTATTTCGTATGCCGTTGCTGAACCACTTTCAAGTCGTCAACGACGTCGCCTAGGTACGTCTTATGCATACGCAGCATATGCAAACCAATCTCCTTCCCCTTAATACCACCGCACAGTCCGACTAAGCCCCTTCCGCAGCACTTGCATGTCGACCGGAGGATTCGACGAGTAGTCGATCCTTTAAGCTGGGGGCGTCGCACGAGCCTGGAGCTGGGCAGTCGCCTGCAAGAGGTTGCCGAGCTGGAGAGACCTTGTCAATGCAAGGCCGCTGACGGCGACCTGGGGTTGAGCGGGGTTCGCGGCGATCGGGGCGATGGGTGTTGCTGCGGCGGGCTGGTTGGCAGCGCCGTTGCCGTTGAGGCCGCCAAGGTTGACGGAGGCGGACGGTTTGCTGACAGCGGGCGCGTTGCCCACGAGGGGGGCAGCCGGGGGTTGAGGGGCAGCGGGAGCCGGAGCAGGTTCTATCCATGCCGTTAGCCTATCCTCGAGCCTGTCTAAAACCGTTTACTAGGAGAATGCCACTTACGAGCTGCTGCGGGAGGCGGAGTGGCCGCAGGAGCCGCCGCAGGGGGCGGGTTCGATTTCAAGCCAGCGAATGGATCTGTCGGAGGAGGTCCCGGAATGACCAGAGGCGCTTTCGATGCCGCAGGAGCGGCTGGCGGTGCCGCGGGGGCCGCGGGAGCTGCAGGAGCGGGAGCTGCGGGTTGGGCCGCAGGAGGAGCAGCCGGGGGAGCAGCCGGAGGCGGAGGCGGAGCAGCAGCGGGCGGCGTTTGCGTGACCAACTGCGTGATGATCTGTGGAGGCCTATGATATGTTGGTCAGTGATCTCATCACATCATATTGAGTAGTCCAGCGTTCGCTAGGTCGAGAAAGCTTACGGAGGAGCCTGCGTAACGAAGACTGTCAACGGTGCAGGTACTGAAGCATTCTGGTAGATCGTCTTCGTGACAGTGACCGGTGGCGGAGCTGGAGGAGCTGGAGGAGCTGGAGGACAAGCGTTGTTCGGCTTGTTGCGGTTGCCCTGGTTGTTTCTGCTGCCGCCGTTGAGAGCGTCCAAGATGCCGGCAATGAGGTTGCCCTGTCCCGATCCTCCTCCATTCGCTCCCTTGTTCAGAGATCCAGCATTTCCAAGGTTCACCGTCTTCACTTCAACCGCGCCCGCGTTGGCGCCCTCTACGTTGACGTTTCCGCTTCCATCAATGTTGATGTTTTGTCTCTTGTCGACAGCCGCGCCCTGTTTTCTCGTCAACCCATATTCATCTCCACCCTCAAGAAAGTTGTCCTGAGGTATGTCGAGTGAACGCACCTGAGCGATTGATGTTAGAGTTGCCACGGCGAAGAGTAGACTGTGCCTCATCGTGGGCTCGGGGGCGAAAGCTGGAGACCTTCGAGTGTCGCCAGCGTCTCTCGATTTCGATCTTTTCCACTATTCGTGCCCTTCTTTTTCACTATTTGCCTTTTCAAAGAGCGAGTTCAACAGGCCAGCCGTCGGTGAGTTCTTTGGGATCAACCCTAGGATCGAAAAGAGTGTATAGGTTTGTGGAGTGTTCCGTAAACCTTCGCGATTACGAAAGGAAAGAGTTACGGGCAGACAGACGGCGACCTGCAGAACATGTCCAGAGTTCAATGAGATAAGACGGCCAAGACCCCCCAAGTAGTGAGAGTGATCAAGAGGGTGTGCGGGTACTAAGAAAAGACGAGAGATGTGACCAGAAATGGATCTGAGGGGGGGTGTGAGGACAAGAGAGTGTGAGAGGAGTGAATCTCGGTCAGAGAGCGAATGCCGTACTTTCCGTGTCTTTCCAGCCAGGAACAGGCACGCACACACGCAGAGAGTTTGGGTAAGGAGAGCGAGAAGCAAAGGAAAGATGGGACGAAGCACCATCAAACCACAAAAACAGTCGAGTCTTGAGTTGCGGGAGCCGCAAAGATTAATCGAAAAGGGGACCACCGTCCAGAATCACGAAATGGCCCATGTCAATGCCCAGCCATGCACCATCAGATTGGCTCTTCGGCGCACCGGGTGCCAAAATGCTTGCCAATGCTTGGCCAAGGCTAGCCGGGGTGAGCTTCATGGTGGACGAGCAGCCAGACAGGGCAAAAAGAAGCTGGACGGTGGCCTAGAACTGGTACGATGGACGTCTTGTCGAAGGCGACAAGACTTCTGATTTGACTGAATCGAACTCGATGGGGCAAGGGAGACCAGGGTTTCTGTCAGGAACGCTGCAGACTCGATCAGTGCGGTTCAGGGCGGCCAAGAAACGCAAGGGGCCCGCTCCCCGCCATGCTGCATGCCCGCCTCTACTGCGCAGGCTCTGGCTCACCTCATCCATGTCCAACATTGTCGGGTCGGGCTAGGGATCGTGAAAAGGTCGATCGGAGATGGAGGCCGTGTGAAGCAAGGCGTCGTGGAGCCGCTGCAGAAGGGTCCGGGAGGGCGTCGAGAGAGGTTAGAAGCATTCCAATCATTCCACGGCGATGGCGAGGAAGAACCCTGGGCTGGGCTTGCTGGGGCTCAAGGGTGTGAGACATGCCCCAGACGAAGACCGTCTGAGACGGGGGGGCACAGTGACAGAGCCACCAGAGCCACCCCAAACTCGCGCCAGGGCTCCGAAACTGCGAGAGCGCCAGAACTGCGAGCCACACCCTTCGGCCACTAGCCCCAAGTGACAGCCAACGCAAGCCAACGCTAGCTTCTAGAGGGCAACTGCAACGATGAACCGTCGAGACTCGACTTCGACGATGGTCCATCCCATCCCATTGTGTCTGTGTCTGTGTCCGTGATGTGTGACGTGATGCTAGTTTGATGAGGAAGCCATGCGAGGGGCGGACATGATGCGAAAGACCGATGGCGGCTTCAAAATCTCGGTGGCCACGGGTGCCATAGGTATCCCACTCCATCCTTGGCCATCATCCCTCCACTGTCCAGTACACTACGTCTTGGATTCGTACGGATACACCAGCAACGAGGCACCCGTAGATGGGTGAAACAATGTTTCCCACGGGTATGCGGGAAATTCTTTTTGGCTTTCGTTCGATCCCAGCATGTCGCTATCAACGACGTTGCCGCTGCTGTTGGAACTGGTGCAAACTGCTTCTTTGACTCGTGTTCGTGGTGACGATCGTTGAAAATAGAACCCGCATCGCAATCACGAAAAACTCTCATTTCGTTTCCCCAGACTCTCCCAGGGCCCAGGCGGCTACCGCTGCACGAAATGCATCGCGACTGGTGGGCTTGGGAGAGGTCGTCGGGTCGGGGCCCACGACAAAACAAAAAGGTGTCAGCGCTTCATCGACACTTGGACAGGCGGGACGCACGCGTCCACCGTGCCTCGCACCCACGTGAAGATCAACAGCGTGGGATGGGCCTTTCAGATGGAGCATCCAGTGCAGGTCGATGACAGGCGAGGTGGTTGGCGCCCAATTCTCTTGCTCTTGCTCTCGCTACGTCGCGAAACAGAGGGGCCAAAGACGAAAAGAAGCGCGGGTACGGATGCAGATGCAGTTTTCGTAGGATGTGCGGCATTTGTGGATGACTGATGAGTGATGAGCCCATGGATGTCTTCGTCTCAACTTGCCTTTTTCCCGCATCGTTCCTTCGGACAGTCGAATGAGCCCATCGCCGAGACAGCTTATGTCGCCAAACACGTTGCGCTTGCGTATGCAGTACAGTAGTATCCGTAGACTAGAGCAGGCTCTTTCTCTTGCTGGAAGAAGGGACAACGGCATTGAGACGACGAGGGTCGTCCCAAGGCGAGCAGAAAATGAACACCTTTGCTATAATCATGGACTTTTAGTGCCTCAAGTGGCTGGGGCGGCGTGCGTGCTGAGGCAATGGGTCAAACGAGCAAGAGCCCGGGCGGCACGTTTGATGACATGCAGATAATGTGCGTTCTGGTGCACGCTGCAGGCGATGAACATGCCACGGGCCAGAAGAAGACCAGGACCGTCATTGGCGGTTGGCGATGGTGATACCGGCCCAGATAATAGCACGTTTTGATGGGAAATAATAAGAGACCTTTCTCCGGCGTCGTGGGTGAGGTGAGTCTGTCTTGCTTTCCTGCTCGGGAAGGGAATAAGGTACTGAGAGATGGCGACCTATCTCAGGACAATGGTCCCGGAACGGCAGTTGGTGTCGAGACGAGCGCTTCCCGAAGCACCGAGTTCATGTGCAGCAGTCGCAGTGAAGGTTCATGCGACTGTGCACCGACCTGAATGAGGAAGGGGGCCCCAAGACATCGTGATACATGATACCTTAGACAAACGCCCCCTTCCGACTTGTTGCTTCAATAGGATGTTGCGGCTAAGTTCAGGGATCAGCATATCATGATCGGGAGACGGGGACGCCAGTCTCGTTCGTTTCACTCAATTCAGTGGGTAAAAGAGCCTTAAAACGGTCCGAGTGCATGCTGATGTAATTCAGCCCATTCCCTCCTGCACGCAATGTGGCGGCGGCAGCTCCGAACAAGCTTAAAGACGACGGCTATGGCCTATGGTCAATACATATGTCTTTATTGTGGCTAGAGAATCTCGGATCTTACTTAGGTAATGTGGCTAGTATCAGTCTCTCGTACCTCCCAACGTGGCTAGAACGTGGCTAGAGACCTACATAGGTAGCGACCGGTCCTCGGTGGCCCTGCAAGTCCGATCGATGCCATGGTACAATGTACCCTCATCATACTAATTGGCCTGCATCGGTACACGGACTCTTTCAAAGCTGAGCCAAAGCAGTGGGCCTACAGAAGTCAATGACGACAGTGCAATCCTTCTTCAACCATCAGTTGAGGCTAAGCAATGAGCAGCTACGATCATCGGGAGGTTTTTTTGACGTCGTCTTCCATAGCTTCCGAAGCCCGTGATGGTGATGATAAGTTGGTTTAAGCCGGCTTGCTAAACACTCGTGTTTCTTCACATCTCTCATCTAGGCTCATCTTACAGCACCGGCGACTGTGGCCCCCGTGTGTTTCAACACATTTCCAAGCGTCTCAGACTCTACACGCAGCCACAGAACAACAACAACAACTCGCATTCAAACGACACACACAGATAGGAGGCAGCCCAAGATGGCGGTTGTACATGTCCTTGACGACTACTATCTGGCCATCACGGCTCTCATCACAGTGGCATACCAATTATTCTTCTTTTCAATAGCCTTTAGCTTCAAGTTTGACAAGCTCACCGGTAAGACCAACTCACATCCGGCCCTTCAAGGCTCATTCGATAATTCACCAACTCACTCTACAAATGAACGATGAACACCAAAACTAACATCTCTCACAGACTTCGCCGGCGGCACAAACTTCGTCGTCCTCGCCATAATCACCCTCGCCATCAGTGGCCACAACCATGCCCGCCAAATCGTCGCTTCCATCTTCATCATGCTCTGGGGCGCCCGCCTCTCGGCCTTCCTCCTCTTCCGCATCCTCAAGACGGGCAAGGACGACCGCTTCGACGACAAGCGCGACAAGTTCTTCCCCTTTCTCGGCTTCTGGATCTTCCAGATGATCTGGGTCTGGACCGTCTCCCTGCCCGTCACCGTCCTCAACTCGCCCAACGTCACGCGCTACCCGCAGCACGACTTTGGTACCGGTCGCGACATTGTCGGCGTCATCTTCTTCGTCGTCGGCTTCGTCATGGAGTCGGTAAGCGACGCGCAAAAGTACGTCTTCCGCAGGGATAACCCGAGCCGCGAAGCCATTTGCGACAAGGGCTTCTTCAAGCTCTCAAGGCACCCCAATTATTTCGGCGAAATCATTATTCAGTTCGGTAAGTTCACACACTGCCACTCATTGCCAAGTGATACCACCTCACACAACGCCAATCTCCCCACCCACGTGCTTTGTCAGCGCGACAGGAGCAAAACTAAAACCACTGATGAGAGAAGTCCTTGGCTAACACAGCACCCAACGTCTAGGCATCTACATGATCGCCGTCTCGGCAGCCGCCGACGGCTACGTGGGCGGCCAAGCCTTCAAAGCCCTCTACGCCACCATCCTCGGCCCCTTCTTCCTGACGCTGCTCCTCATGTTCGTATCGGGCCTGACCCTCCAGGAGCGTCCCGGCGCCAAGAAGCGCTACGAGAAGAATCAGAACTGGGAGGGCTACAAGCGCTACCTCGAACGCACCAGCATCCTCATTCCCTTCCCGCCGCAGCTGTACGCCCGCATGCCGACGGTCCTCAAGCGCACCGTTTTCCTCGAGTTCCCCATGTACGTCTTCGACCCGGCCAAGCACTCTGACGACGGGTCGCGCGCCGAGGAGGGCCAACAGCACCACCAGCATGAGTCCGTTGCAAAGCCCGCGCACGGGAATGGGAGGCCGAGTGGGGAGGAGTCTCTCGTCGGGCAGCGTTCGTGAGTTTTGGGAACGTTGAGGAATTAATCTGGGAGGATCAGGCATATTCATGGTATCTAATTTTCATGTTTTTGACGGCATTACGACTTAGATGTTTTTTTGTTTTTTTTTATAACATTCAATTTTTGAGGGATATCATAGAAACGACTAATACTACCCTCATCATCCCTCGTCTTATTATTTGTCCCGACCGAAGTACCTGTAATTGTCAAACAAGAGCAGATTTCAATCACAGCACTTATACGACATAATATACGCCAGCTGTATCACTCACATCAGTGAACAATGGCTTTCAACGTCCCGCTCAGCTCACACCGCCCGTCAACTGATACCGCCCCTACCGGCGAGCCCCCGCTCCCGCGCAAGTCCGTCGGCTGATCGAGCGCCTCTTGCTGGTCGCCGTAATCTGTGTACTCAGCTTCCTCGCGGTGGTTCTCCGCGCCCTCAGGGATGGGCACCATGGCATTCTTGGTCCAGATGTGGACGGCCGTCTTCCAGTCCAGGCCGTCGATGCAGCCGCCCTTCACGGAGACGACGTTCTTGTCCTAGGGAGTCACCGGGCACTCAGTCTACACTCATACTTGGGGCGCGTTTTGGGTTTTACGAAAGGATTTACCGGTGTTGCGTGGATTAGTCTGGTTCCGCAGTTGCGGCAAAAGTAACTGTCGCGAGATTGTCAGGTCACAGATCTCAGGTTTGCGACGAGGGAGGGTATCTGCTCACCAGTACAGCGTGGCGCCGGACGCAGTCGGCCTCCTATTTGCTCTTAGATCAGTAATGGATTCTGAATTCCTTCACAACTCGCAACTCTCTCACTCTCACGCTTCACAACTTTCCTGACACCAGTGGCTCGAATGACTGCTCCTTTCCCTTTCCCTTCCTCTTCATTGTCTTGTATGTTTGAAACTCACGCGTAGACACCCATCAGATCAGCCTTTGGTAGCTTGAACTTGGGGAAGATTGCAGACGTTCCAAACGCGGAACCCGTTTGCCTTTTACTAGAGACCAAAGAGGGCGCAAGTCAGTATATACACACTCTCCGCCATTGACTAAGTGAGGGAGGCGTGAAAACGTGCCATTCTTCACAGTGGCAAATATAGAGACGGAGAGGCTTCGGCAGCGGCGTCTTGAAGGACACGGCTCCGCATTGGCATCGGGCATCCATCTTGATAAGCTTAAGCGGGAAGTGCGTAGTGTAAGGTAAGTTGAGGTAAAGTGTGGGAGCGGATCGATGGTGATAGTGGCAGTGTGACGTCAGATTCGTCACTCAAGTGCCGGGTGAGATTCGAACGAAGAAGGGACAATCCTTCACGAACCGACGACGTTTGATAGGCCGATATTGCCCGTCAGATGAGAATTAGAATAAAGACGGGGAAAACAGCAATCCAATCCCACGTGTAAGTGTTGTAGGGAGAAATCAGTTCCTCAGGATGCGTGAGGAGTCAGCAATCAAGTTCGTCCGAAACGGGAATCCTCCCGTCTTTTATGTACCTAGCGACTCCTCAAAAAACCACATGACACACACAGCTAACGCATCCAAACGACTACGGTCTACCCGTCTTCTCTACAAACAACCCGACGTCGGGAGAAGAATGCAACTCAACACGCGTCTCAGCGCGATATCGAAAGTATGGAAAGGACACTAATTGCTGCGACTTGCAGCGGTGACCGGGGTGGGAGGAGGAGGGACGTGAGTCACGGCCGGGGTGGTGTGGGAGAGAGAGAGAGAGGAGGGGGAAGTGCGGGGCGGGCTGAAGCGGATTGTCGGGGGACAAGACAGGCTTTGGAGCGAGACTGGCGCGAAGTCACATGGTTAGTGGCCCTGCTTGACCAGGTTTTGCTGCGGAGCTATCCGTATTTCGCGAGATAGATACTCTAAAAGGGCTAACATGCCTTCGGCTTCGGGTTAGGTTGAAGTTGACTCAGAATTTCGGGGTTATATTCGCGGAAGAGGAAGCAGTTCAATGGTGTGTTGCAGCACGTACCTTAGGTATAGTAGTCTAAGCTGCCTCGATGCTCAAACTGTTTACCATTGACTCTCTTGGGCTCAACAACCGAGGAGTACGTAAACTCCGGAAATCGGAGACGGGAGACGAAACTCTAGGATGGAGGAAAACCAATATGCAAATCCTGCTTGTAGTAGAACAGCGTCCGTTGTTCAAGACGAGCTGTCAAAGAGTTAGAAAGCAGATGAACCGCACAGCCAAGAGACAGCCGCTGGCCGCCATGCTCCGATTGGCCAATGTTTCACGAACAGTTCCTTGCACACTGGCGGGACCTTTCCGCGCTGGGTGGATGTCCATTTCAACGTCACATCACTCACCCCAGTCGGACTAAACACTGAACCGCACCAAGCCGCGACGGAAGAAATCAGTTTGCAATGTATCAGGGTCTCATTATCTTTCTATCTCGTCTGAGTCATTAGGAGCCCTTTCTTGACGAACGTCTAACGGTCTAGAGCTTCTCTAGCTCGCACGCCCGTGGGTATCTCATACTATAGCTTTTCCTGGCTCCAAGACGATTATGAAATCTCCAATCTATCCGTATCATCCAGGACAGGTCCACCGACGTCGTTGCAGAAATCCGTGGTCGAGTATCAGCTGCGACTAGTAGACACCCAAGATGATAGGTCTAGTGGCTCGCCTATGAATAACGAGGTCAAACCAAATCCCGAATCTCCCCAAAGAAACCCCCACGGCCGTAGATTCAATCAATCGTATCCCATAGCCCCACGAATGCTTTGCTGCTGAGCAGTCGAATAATTGGCAGGTCGAATGAAGTCGATGGCAAGGCCCAAGCGGTAGATCCGGTTCCTTAAGAGGATCCAGCTCCTCCACAGTGTCTTTGTTCATCGACTTGGCAATGCGCCCCCAAGTAAAGTCGCACTAGCAAGAAAGGCCACGGTCGCGGGTCATGACCTTCTTCTGACGAGGGCCAGCCATTTTCATGTTACGGGCTGGGAGGAACGGCTTGTACTTCTTGTCGAAAACACCGCCGGGAACCCACTCCTCCTCGGTGTGGAGACGGCTCCAGATGGCGTTGAGCTTGGTATTGTTCTCAACATCGATACCAAGAAAGTCGACGCTGTTGCGTCTGTCGGGGGTGAGGAGGATGGTGATCATCTTGGGTCCATCGATGAAGAGGAAGATCAGGATGCGGATGATGGCGACAGAGAAGTAACCAATGAGGATGGCAATGGGCTTGACAATCACCCAGACGGTATTTTTGATGACATCGGCGACAGTCGGGTTCATTGACATCAAGAAGAGAGTGATGAGAATAAGAACCGGAATGCGAACCTCGGGAGACCAAGCGGTAGAGTAGTCGATGCTGAACTCAGGGCAGTGAGGGTGGAAGCGACCGCGCATAACGTGACCGTTCATTTTTCACTGGAAATGATAAGTGTTTATTCAAAGTCAATGGATTTCTTTTGCTTCGACTTACCAGGTATTTTGTGAGTGATTGGCGTGGATTTGAGGCTCTCGCGATGTTCTTTGAGGGGAATGTATGTGATCTCTTTGACGAGAACACAGGAATCTGTGATCTTATTAGCGACCCTTCATACCCATAATTGTTACTTTTGTCGCACTAGGGAATGGAGTCCTGACGAGGAATTTTTTCGTCGTCAATCGGCCTGAGAAGCGCCTGAAAGTCGCAAGTAGGAACGATCGGTATCCTGTAAGGTGAGGATATTGTGTAATATTGCAAGTAGGCAATGCGTTCAAGAAGATAATGCTTGAGAGGAAAAGCCGAGGGTCCAAGAGAAGAGGAAGGGTGGGAGGCGGAAGGGAAACAGGAACCTCTCGATAGCAGACGACTGGCTGCTTTGGTGAGAGAAAAAGAAAAAGAAGAGCGGTTGGAAGTTTTTTGCAGTAGGCAAAGGAGAAGGAAGGAAGGTATGGCCGGCTGGGTCAACTTCAGATGGAAATACGGCAGGAGCAAACAGTAGCACCTACGTCTGGTCTTGAATAGTGAATATTGGGCCTTGCCTCATTCACCTTTTCAGGAGGAGCCTGAGGTATTCATAACAACGGAGATATAATTCCTCACAACCAATACCCAAACTACAATATGCCTGATACTGTGCACCTAGTTGCATCTCCAGAACGCCAAGTACCTCATCCCATGACCATATCTCCAATCCACTTCATCCTCGTCTTTACATCCCAACAACCAAACACTTATCTCCTCTTTCACCATTCGTGGCTTGGACATCGAGTGTCAATAGCCAATAGCCATTACCCTGAAAGCCATATATCCCAGTCTATGCTTGAGTAATACTCAGCAGGGGGCTCAACACTGCGCAATGCCATCAAAGACTTGCCTTTTCGACCCACTGTCCTCCTCAAGCTTCTCAACACACCTCACCACGACGAGGCTGTCCTTCGCCTCCTTACCGAAGTTCAGCATCTTTCCAAGCTCAGCACACCACTCGAGTTTCTCCCCATCACCCCAATCTAGCACCGAAAGCTCGACCTCCAGCCTCCTCAACGCCCTCAGCTTCCGCAGCCCTTCCTCGATCCATTCCGGCCTGGGATCGGGCTGTGTCGTCTTGGAGCCCAGCCCCATGGCCTGGGCCTCTGCATTATTTTTCAGCGCGGAAAAGGGGGCAGTGGGTTCGAATATCCCACCTCCTATTAGGATCTTGAGCCTCAGCCCTCGTAGCCCGGAAGCCCAGTGCTCACACAACTCAGTCCACTCCTTAAGCGCTGGGCCCGTGAAATCCCGCCCGAGCATCTCGAGCCGCGCCCACCGCATCTCATCACGCTGCCACGGCCGGAGACCGCGCGTGAAGGCCCGCGCCGCCCAAAGACCCGAGGAGAACCAGTTAACAAAGACGAACTCGTTGGTGTGGAAGGGGTAGGACCGGCACTCGTTGTAGATTTGCCTATTGGTCTCCAGGAGCGCCGAGGGGATACCAGAGATTGGACGGTTCGGTGATAGCAGCGATGGCTCTTCAGACCTTTGGTCTTTGTTGGAATCGTTCTCTTCTCCTGCAGGCTGGCCGATGGCTTTCACGATTTTCCCTGATACGGCACTATCCTCAGTTTCCACTCCGGGGGGTTTGACGGGCCTCAACAAGTACGCACTATGTATTGGATTCGGATACCACGGCGCGAGCTGCGCATGCTCTACTGGGTGTGCGACGTGGACCCAACCGTATATCTGGAGGCGGATCTCAAGGGGCAGGCCGAGGAGATGCAACTCGTTTTTCGACACATCCATGGCGGCGGTAGTATTCTCACCTGGGATTGCGAATGTGATTTTCGTTACTGAGGCAATGACGCGCCGTCCAGTTGGCCATCCGCGGGGTCTTGGACAAGATGAGAATCGACGAGATCCAGGGTCCAGCAAGTATAAGTGGTATTCAGCGGGGGATCGTAGCTGTCGGGTCCTAGATGGCTCAGTAATCACAATCGTGAGATGTTGTCAATGTCATCACGGAATCTCAGTTGACTTTTGGAAAACCATGGATAAGCTTCAGCAATCGAAATAAGACAATGGGCGCGCCTGTACAACATATACTACGACCACCATTGGGTCTCACTCTTCGCCCAAACCAATTGCCCAGCAAAGAAACGTCGGGGCTGGGCCGGAGTTCAGCGTTAGGAGCTCCCCAATGGCTCCAGGGACCGTCGTAAGCCAGCCATGTAAAAGAGGGGGAAATCAGGCCCATTGGCCCGCTGATTCAGGATCGGATTCCTTAACGGACAGAACGAGCGAAGGACAGGTAAGCTGACACTTGCAGCAGCAGCAGCAGCAGCAGTACGCACGCAGCGCGAACAGGAAAGCAACCAACAGCACAAAGGAAAGCTGGGGTGCCACACCCGATACAGACGAGCCAAGCCAGACCGAGAGCAAACCCAACCCCCCCTGGCCAGGTCTTACATCCAACCTTGGCGAGACGTCAGCCCTACTAGCATCCCTTCGCGATATACTAATCGAACGCCATGGTTGGTGATCTTACGACACGGAACGATGGGTTAGGGGGAAAAGGCTTAAAGCACATGACAGCGGGGGCCTCGACATAATCCTTGCTCGTACTCGCTCGCGACTTACTCGCAAGTTGTACGTTCTGGGGGAAGAAAAGAGAATGATCGTTCAAGCATACCTAGGCAAAGCTAGGTAGCTTCTCCCCGGCCCCTCTTTACTTGCTCTCCTCTTCGGATTACTCTCCCCCCACTTTCAAGGGATGAACCCGGCCGGCGGCTCCAACCAAAACCAACAGACCAACCACATAGTTCTGGCCGATCTTCCGCGAACAACGACCCCCCTCCAAGACAGCAAGCCCTCTATATCGACCTCGACCAGAACCACTGGCTTCGGGATTTTCGGAGAACAGAGGGAGAGTTATATTTTCACCCTCCCTCGCAGAATCGATTTCCAGAGGATTGTGCAGTATGAGACTCAAAGCAGAGCGCCCTCCCCGCACCGGTTCGTCCCCAGCCGCCGTCGCACCGGTGTCCGCCACGTGGAGAAGCCTGTTGCTCAGCTCGACGATGGCGGCTTCGTGGTGAGTGTCATATGCCAGACCTATTAGCCTTTGCTCGTACCGAGAACCCAGAAAAAGCCACCTCGGGGTCCGCCCCAGATGCCGCACCCTTCACCCATACATCCCTCACTAATGAACCGCATGTGTAGTACAAGACTGAGTTTCATGCCTCGCGGGAGGGCAATTTCAGCATTAGCTATACTTTGAAAAGGGCTATCCTAACTTTGTTCATCGAAAACGTCCTCAGCAACCTCCCCTTCTTGCCCACTATCCTGAATTACATAGCCAGGAGAGTGTGTGTTGGCGAAGCAACCTAGCAGGTCTCCCAATGACCCTCCTTTTCCGAATTCTTTCTTCGACTTCATTCGCGCGTGACGTTAAAACAAGAAGAAACCCTACCCCTCTCCGGTAAAAATCTCCTCGAATTCCCAGTCTCTCATGCTTCGCGTACAAAACTCCTCGAGCAAAATTAAACGCCCCAAGGCTGTAGAGACCGAGCGAGCCCCATTCTATAAAAGTCCATGCTTGGGACCAGTAAAAATCCCACTGATGGGAAGGGTGTATATACGTCAAGTGACAAAAGCGAACACAAGGAAGAAAAAGGTTAGACTTCTTTTGGTTGTCGTCTTCGTTAACGTCCCAAAACTCGCAAAACACATAAATGCAAGCAAAGCCGCCCCGAGGACAGCAGGGGTATCAAAACTCTCCTCCGATAGTGGAAAAGAGGGTTGTGTGGTGTTGTCGTTTCAAGATTATGCGCATCTTTGGGGGGAAAGGTTGAATTCGGAACTTCTCTGAGCCTCGAACCGAATTTAAGAGAAGTCGTCGTCTCCATTGCTGACCATTCGGTCGACGCGCTGGACCAGCTCCTTGGTCTCCCGAGCAATTTCGAAAGCAATGGGCGGCAAGGTCTGCGTCCACATCCTCCACTCGCGATCGTTGCGCCCGGTGGCACCGACGTCTTGGCCGCGGTCAATGTCCATACCACGGTCGCTAGCTTCCAAGAGGCGGTCCCGGCAAGCGACGAGTCGGGTAATCATACCGCCATTGCCAGATGCCTCGGTTTCGCCAATGACCTTGTCGACAACCTCTACGATGCCATTGATCTCGGATGTGATCTGGTTGATGGCGGCATCGCTTCGGATGGAGCCGACCAAGTTCTGGATGTTCTGGACCAAGATCGCGGTCTGGTCCTCGAGATAGATCTTGAGATCTTCGGCCCGGTTATCCTGTTGTCGCATGCCATTACCGTAGCCATTGGCTGGCCCGTTCTGGTTCATGCCAGCAAAACCACCCATCCCGTTCATACCGTTCATACCGTTCATACCACTAGCGCCCCGGGCTTGGTTGTAGGCGTCCGCAGACTGGCGAGGGGAGTTGATGGGGCTGTAAGCGGAGGAGTCCATGCTGGTTCGGCCACCGCCAAGTCCACGGAATGGTGCGGGTGCCTGTCCCAGTGGCGGCAAAGACTCCTGGATGATCGACTCCTGTCTCGAGGCCGTTCTCGGGGAGAAGAAACCGGTCGAGTCAACGGGGGTGATTGTGCCGTCGTCCTCATCCTCGAGTTCGCCAGCGGGCGTGGATCGAATCTTTGCGACTCGGAGGAGATCGACAATAGCGGCAACCAGGTGAGTAGCGGCGGCATCGAGGAGGGAAACTGGCGTGATGCCTGCCGATGAAGCAAAGTTCTTGGATGTCGTGATGAGGTGGTTGGCCGTCGAAGAGATCTTGCCCTTCAGCTTAGAACGCTGCTGCGCCAGCTCCTCGTTGGTAGCGACACCCTCGTCGATATCCTTAGTAATTCGGCGAACGCTGACAACGACTTGCTTCATAGCGTCAATGACGGTGTCCGGGTTCTCCGCGCGCGCGCATTGGAGGAGTTCGTCGATGGCGATCTGGAATTTGGTGACGTGGACGTCCTTAACTGCACCACCGTCCTGTGCAAACCCCTTTTCTCTGATGTACTTTGAGGCATCTTGCTCGACGGTTAGTCCTAGTGAGGAAGCACGCATGCTGCGAAGTTGTGTCTTTGTTCGTGCGTAGCGATTGCGCCAATCTCGAACCTCTGCTTCCAGCTGCTCGATTGTTTTCTCTAGCTCCTCCTGCTTTTGCCAAGTTGAACCGCTCTGTTGTGAAAGCATCTTCATTTCGCGGAGGAACTCCCGGGCCTCGCGTCGAGCCTCTTCCGTAACCTGTTGCTGCTCCTGCAGAGATTGGCGAAGTTGCTGGTTTTCCATTTGCAGCTCCCTATCCGCATTGCCAGAGTTGGCTGCACCTGCAGCCGCACTAGACAAGCGCAATTCGTCCATTTGGTCTCTTAATTGCCGAGACTCGTTGGCGTGTTCGTCTCGCATGCGATCCAGCTCCTGCTTCAACGACGCGTTAAGATCTTGAGCCTCGGCGAGCTTGTTCTCCAGGCCAAGACGCAGGTCGCTAAATTCCTGCTTCTCCATATTCGCGGCTGTTGACCGTGATCTTTCTCCATCCAGAACACTGTTCAATTCGTCGTCCTTCTTCTTCATGGCATCCTCCATAACGTCAAGCTTTTCCCGCAGGTCGCGCACTTGAGTCTGGTATTCGTCTAAAAGCTTCTTGTCGGCCTGTCATAGCTGTTAATGTCTCCACTCGATACGAGAATATTTTGGGTAAAGATCACCTCTGATGCTACGGCGCTCCGCTCCGTGACTTCGCTTCTCTTGCTACGATTAGTCGCGGTTCGTTCGAGGCCAAAAGCTTCCTCGTCTTCGTTCGGGCTGCCATCGTCGTCTTCTTCCACCATCGTACTTTTGTTCGGCACGATTGTATTGCTCTGAAACTGTTTTTGCATCGGCCGGTTGTAGTCGCCATTCGGAGGCATACCCGGTGATGGAGGCACTCCGTAGGGGTCGGGCGGTGGTGGCCCCCCTCTCATAGAGCTCGCGTCTGAGGGCCGCCTCATCCGACTTTGACTCCTGGGAGGATAGCCATTCCCGTTGACTGTCGCCTGCGAGCGGACCGATACGGGGCTACCCACTCTAGGGATGTCTCCAGCGGCAAAGCGGGGAAACCTTCTCTCCAGTTCGCAAAAGACGTCAGTCGCAAGATCACGAAAGCGCGGGGGACCAAGGGATGACAGTTTTTGCCTGGCCTGGTTGCGTTTGGGATGGAAGTTGGATTCGGGCATCAGGTAAGGGGGTGGCCCCTGACCGCCAGGACCCGAAGGTCGGCGGCCGAGGGATTGTCTCCGCAAAAGTTCGTCAAAGACATCGGTACTGAGTTCGAGAAACTGGACAGACGACAGGCGCAACAGCTTGTCGCGGGCCTTATTCGGGGGTGTTGGTTTCCCACCGGAACCGCCATTCAGGTAGTTCTTTAGAGCGACGTAATGCTCGCCCAGTATGCCCTCGGCTTGTTCCTCGCGGATACTCCGTCCGCTCTCGCTCCTTGCATACATATTGGTGCCATTGCTGGATCGGCCGACGGAGGGCGGCGGTGAGGGACCGCCGGCGCTCCGGGGACCGGGAGGAAAATTGCCATTCATGGCCCCGTTGGAGCCTCCTGAATTCGGGGGTGATACGATGTTGCCGCGGTTTTTTGCGTACGGGTCGTCGTTGATGTTCGGGTATTTGCCAACAGACCACTCGCTTCCACCTAGAGAGACAGGTGAGAGAGGCGCATTGCGACCGTTCATGGTAGACCTGGACAAATTTTGTATAGGAGTATGTTCGCGCGTAGAAGAGCGGCAGGCTGTCGAAGGAACAGAGGCGCGGCGCAGCGAACAAAGGGAGTATCGAAGTCGAGAAGGAGGTCGAGGTCGAGGTCGAGTTCGAAGGACGGGTCTTTCAATTCGGTCGGGGGTAGTAGCAGCTGAACGTTTCTTCTTCTTCTTCTTCTTCGTCCTGCACGCTCGCCTGACGTGTGTGACAGAATTCTAATCCAATCAGGTATACGCTCGTACCCAAAACCAAGGCGAAAACCCAAAAGCCAACCTAAATACGTGTTGTCGCAGAACCTTTTTCTCGCTTTCTTTATTTGGAGTAGGTCGGTGAAAGGTTGGGCGGGTGTGCGCACTGGACTGCGTGTGGTTCAGGTTCAGGTTCAAGCGACGGGACGGTGAATAAAGAAAGTATTGGAGACGGTCGAGGAATGTGTCGCAGGCTGGTAGTGAGATATCGCGGTAGAGGGGCGTGAAAGGAAGAAAGGGGTTCTGGTTTCTTCCAATCCGTGTCTTTCAA